ATCTTGTACTTGGCTCATGAAATCTCTGCGGATGGATTGAGGCCGGACGATGCCAAAGTGGCGAGCATACGGGACTGACCCAGGCCTCAAACTGTTACTGAGGTCTGATCGTTTTTGGGGATGACGGGCTACTATCGTTCGTTTGTTAAGAACTATAGTACTATAGCTTCCCCATTAACAGATCTAACTCGACTCAAGCTTCAAGAAATTGAAGTATGCTTTGACACACTACGAGGTCCTCAAACTTCCGGATCCTGATAAGCAATTTGTTGTGACCACAGACGCCAGCCAATATGGCATAGGCGCGGTCCTTGCGCAAAAGGAGGGGCCAAAGTTGAGACCCATCGAGTATATGAGTAAAAAGATGCCGTCTCAAAAGCTAGCAAAACCCACGTATGAGCGTGAACTCTTTGCCCTCTATAGAGCGCTGGTCCATTGGAGACACTACCTCCTAGGCAGATTCTTCTACTTGAGATCTGACCATGAGACCTTGCGCTGGATCAAGACACAACCTGTACTCTCTGACGCACTTAGCGGTGGATTCAAGTGATAGACATGTATGACTATGAACTTGATTCAATCAAGGGAGAGTACAACCAAGTGGTTGATGCACTATCGCGAAGGGCAGATTATCTGGGCGCACTAGTGACTGGGTTTGGTATATCTGACGATGTAACTCGATCCTTGGTGGAAGCCTATCAACAAGATCCAGTCATGTCTGAGATCACTTGTAGATTTCAAGTGAAGGATAAGGTAACCTCCGATGAATTTACGATGGTAGAAGGCTTACTGTTTCTTGTGCAGGCAGGGAATAAAAGACTCTGTGTTCCGAATAGTGAGTCTTTGCGTAGTTTGCTTTTAGGAGAATGACATGATGCAACTGGCCATTTCGGCTATAAGAAGACTTTAGCTAACCTTGTGCAGAGATTCTGGTGGCCTTCTATGATGCAAGATGCCAAAAGGTACGTAGAAACCTGTCAGGCTTGTCAACGGGACAAACCTAGGACTCGGGCTCCGTTTGGGCTCATCAAGCCCTTGCCGATTCTTGAAGGTCCTGGTCAGAGTGTGTCCATGGACTTCATGGATACTCTTGTGACCAGCAGGTCTGGGAAAAGGCACATCTTTGTTATAGTAGACCGCTTCTTTAGGTATGCAAGACTAATCGCTATGCCTGAAACTGCCAAAACTGACTACGTCATCAGACTGTTTATGGATAATTGGGTACAGGACTTTGGTTCACCTAAATCCATAGTCAGTGATAGGGATGTTCGTTTTACCAGCGAACTGTGGCAAAACACCACCCAACACATGGGAACCAGACTGCAAATGACATTAGGGAATCACCCTGAGTCAAATGGACAGGCGGAACAAATGAACAGAGTAGTACAGCACCTGCTTAGGCACTACATTAGGCCAAGCCAGGATGACTGGGACGAGAAACTACCTCTCATCGGCAGCCTGTACAACAACGCTGTACACAGCGCTACTGGCATGACTCCCAACCAGCTGCATCTTGGTTGCAAGCCCCGTTCTGCGCTTGACTTCCTACTACCTGAGCAGCAGACCACTGCAGCACCAGGCAGCGTAGAATTTGCTGTCAAGTACGAACAGATGTTGCAGCAGGCCGTCGAGCATATGAGGAAATCTCAAGATGATATGATTGCATCTGAGAACAAACACAAACGGCCTTCTAACTTCCAGGTAGGGGACAGGGTTTGGGTAAAATCATCTGAACTGGGACAGGAACTGGGAATATCTAGAAAACTAGTGCCACAGTACTTCGGTCCCTGGGAGGTCCTAGACATAGTGGGGGATTAGATAGACGGACCTTCTTATGTGATTCACGTCCCACCACATCTACGTACACACCCTTTTTTTCACGCTTCAAAGCTGGCACCTTTCGCAGAAACTGCTCAGTTCCCTTCCAGCCGGTCAATGCTGCCCCCAACCATAGATGGTGAAGTTGACATCGACGGAATTGTGGAGCATCGAGTGATGCCGGTGCCTAAACCGCTGGGCAGAGGCCGCCCTCCTAAGCCGAGAATGCCATACCGAGTAAGATTCAGGCATCATCTGGATCCCAAGGAAGATCGGTGGTTCACCATGGAAGAACTCATGAGAACAGCACCTCAAGTTATCGCAGGCTATGAAAGAGAACTCAAGGGGAAGATGCCTGCAGATTAGAAGACTTCTCAGAGGACTATCGAAGAAAAGGCGAGGATTCTGTGTCCTCTGCAGGCTGAAGGGGCCCTGTTGCAAATGTGCCCGCCCTAAGTGAAGGCGGGCCTAAGAAATCACGAGAGGCCCTAAGCTGTCAATATCGTATTTGGGGTCCAGGCAGTTTCGTTGTGCCAGTTGGTTGAGGGAAAACACAGGCCGAGCAGCGAGACATTCCACGACCTTCCATGCCTTTCCAAAATGATGCGGGCCCTGGACGAGAATCGCAGGCTCATACACAGACAGTTGGGAGGTGCAACCGAATGAGGCCCGGTAGCTGCAACAGAGGCGCAGCATCCTGGGGCCTACCGGAAACTTCTGGGCCCAGGTCCAGGCCAGCCAGGCTGCGAAGGCAGGCAGGCTCTTTCCATATAGGAAAGAGCTCGCTGCCTGGATTCTCATTTGGGCACTTGCTGGCTGGCGGCAGCGCTGCTGGAGCTTTTGCTCGCGTGCTGGCTGCTAGCGCTGGAGCAAGGTGCTGCGCACGTGCGGTCGTGTGTGGAAGCAGGGCGCTCCTGAGGGCAGCGCCATAGCCCAGCCTCCATAGCTGGCTGAGGGCTTGGTTGTACAGTGAGGCACAGGGGTGGTCGTCAGGTGTACAAGAGGGAAGACGTGGGAGTAAGTCAGGGGAGAGAGAGAAGGATGATGATGATGATGATGTGAGAGCACATACCTGGTATTGGCGATGGTTTGCATTGGGCGACATCTTCAAGTACGTCGTGGGCTGTTGACGTCGACAGTTGCATTGTCAATTCGTAGGCAGACTGTAGCTGTGTAGAAAGTAGGCTGGGCGCCGGGCACCAAGTAGGGAGATAGGGCCTGGACACTCGTGTTGGTGGTGGCGAGAGCAAGCTCTCATTGACATTGGTTTTCAGTGTTACGATTCTTCATTGGTGTTATATTGGTGCATTTCTGCTTTCTGGACACTGTGATACTATCTGGCCTTCAATGTGATTGTGCATTCTGGACATTGTCATCTCGCTATTGCTCATTTTCCTTGCATTTCGTGAAACCCTTTCGTCCATTTCTCCCTTGCTTTTGGTAGATGTACCCTACCTCTATTGGAGAATGACTGGATTTCCCAAACACTCATTTTTTTTATCTCGTTGTTATCTCTACCTGGACAGTCCAGCCCCGTCCGGACAGCTCTACCTGGGGCCCTAAATCATCTAAAGATTCTAAACATTTTTTTTCGAGGGCAATGGGGACTTTGAACCATCCCAGTGCCTTTTCTTTTTCAAGATTCTCCCAGAGGGGCCTCATCTGGATAGTCCGGTTCAGACATCTGGACCCAGATGGTCTGTATCGCGACCTCGACATCCACATCGCAACCAGGACAAAAAGTCTGAAAACTTGGAAGATGAAACGAGGTTGGTTATTTTTATGCACTGGAATTGATACACAAAAGCCAAATTTGAAATTTGTGTGTTTCTTGGAAAAGCTGATAATCGTGCACATGGGGAACATGATTGGCTATCACTTGCCGGTCTGAATGAGGCATAGCTTGGCTGCCTTCTGTTTGGTCAGTCAGAAGTCAGGTTAACAACTAGGAAAGCTCAGACTTCAAAGTCATAAGGGAGATCTTCAGTCCTTTCCCCCCAAAAAAAAAAAACAGTTGGATTTCAACTGGAATTGATATAGGACAGCTAGAATTATTGTATGGCCCTTACATGACTTTCAGGATGAAAAATGCTGGAATCAGTGGAATGTCAATGTTAAATTATTTGTGTTAAATTATTTGTGCTTGTGCGAGGGTTTACCCCTTGGCATAAGGCCCTACAGCAGGCGTGTGCCCGCCCTAAGTGAAGGCGGCCCCTCTGAATCTCAATGTGCCCTGAATTCTTCGTTTCTTGCAAATCTTGGTGGGCTCCAGACAGTTGCCATGCGTTAGTTGGTTGCATCCGTTTTGGTCGTGAGAATCGGGAATATGCGTGAGCCTTCCAGACTCTTCCAGCAACGTGGTCGAAACAGGGAGCACCGCACATTTGTGCCTGGGCGGTTAGACATGCCTAACCAATTCGGTCCCAGGCCAACTGTCAGAATGGGCCTGGGGTGCAGACACTTTGGCCGAGACTGAAGCTACCGGAAACTCGGCTCGACGAGGTGGCAAATTGCCCGCCACTTTCCATATAGGAAACGGCCGGGCTCCAAGTGGGATATTCGGGCACTTGGTAAGCGGGCAGCAGCGCTGCTGGAGCGAACCACTCGCATGCTGCTGCTAGCGCCAGTGCAGACGCGTGCGCGTGCGGTTGTGCAAGAGGCAGGGCGCTGCTGTGGGCAGCGCCATACCCCAGCCCACGTAGCAGGGCTTGGGCTTGGACAGCCAGCGAGTGGTGGTGGTCTTCGTGTATGAGGGATATGAAGTCGAGGGTGAGAGAGAGAGAGAGAGAGAGAGAGATGAGGATGATGATGTGAGGGCACGTACCTGGTCTTGGTGATGGTCTACAGGGTCGACATCTTCATGTACTTCGGTTGTTGGTGCTGACGTCAACAGGTTGCATTGCCAATTCGTAGGCTGGTAGTAGCTGTGTGATTGTAGTCTGGGCGCTGAGCGGCAAGTAGGAGGAAGGGCTCTGGATACATATAATGGTGGTGGCGAGAGTATGCTCTTGTTGACATTCGGATTGGGTGCTGTGGTTCTCCGTTGGTGGAATGTCAGTGCATTTCTGCTTTCTGGACAGCATTGGACCTTCTGGCTTTCAATGTGATTTTGCATTCTGAAATTCTGTCATTTCGCTATCGCTCATTCTCCTTGCACTTGTGGTCCCTTTCGTTGGATGCAGGTTAGCTTGGTGAGCAAAGATTCTCCTATGCTTGATGGCCTGGATACAGCCAGTGTGGAGATGGAGGAAGCGAAGGTTTGTGCAAATTAGCTCCTAACAAATGGCAAGGGCATACAAATTTCTTCCCCCAAGCATGGTTGTGGTAATGCCAAAACCTTTGCAATCTGTGGCGGAATTCCACTTCTGGAACATCTTTGACTCTTGGTTGTACGGGGTGAGACTAATCAAGACCTGACTGCCCTAGTAAGCCTATCAGGCCTAAATCCAGACATTTGTCAGGCCTCAATGGGCTCTGTTCGACCCTACAACCTAGAGACTGACTTGGGCCTGTTGAATGTGTTTTTTTTACCTTGTTACCCTGCGGATATTAAAATTACGGAGCCAAACTTAACTGCAATGAGCCCGACAAGTATGAAAAGCTTCACAAGTAGGTCACTCAAGTATCACCAATGCAGTCAAATTGAACCACTCACAGTAGGAAACAAGTCCAGAATCACTCGATGTAGTCCTAGCATAAGCAGCAAGTCACCAGAAGATAGACAAAGGTAGATAAGTAATTGAGAGAGAGGGAGAATAGTCTCATTAATAATCAATAATGCATTTTAAAATTTAATCGGCTTTTCCTCCCCTCTTCACCTCCGCGTTCCTCTCCACCAACTCGCCACCTCAGCAAATGCTCGTCTCTCCGTGGAAGTCACTGACGAAGTCTCTGCAGGTACCAGTTATGCCGGCCAACTTCCAGCATCAACGCTTGCTATGGAGGTTGGTGCCAGCCTTCTTCAACCTTCTGATGTGACCAGCAGCAGCTCCAATATCACCATCGCCCAGTTAAGTCAAGGTAAGTTTCCCAGTTTCTCACTCTCCTCTCCACTGACAAGTCCTGATCACCCTCTTCCTCACTCTCTCTCTCTGTGCTCTAGCTATGGTGGTTCTCTTCTCCCACTGCGCCTCGTCTTGCACTCACTGTAGTTCGTCACTTTAGCACTGCACTGTAGCTGCACTTTGTAGCACTGTGATGCATGCTCGTCTGGCGATGAATGCACAAATCCGAAGGAGCACCAATGTGATGAGTACGACTCAGGATAAACAATTCGACCAACAAATAAGCAATGTGCATCCAGAAAAGAAATGATATAATGCAATGTATGTAGCCTACGTGACACCCGCGGCCTAGGCCGCGGGCAATTCGGCCGCCACGACCGAAAAAGTTGGCCGCGGCTGCGGCCAATGAGGCCCTGTCCGCGGCCTGTTTTTTTAATATTTTTTTGTACCCCGAAAAATACGTAAAAAAAATAAAAAAATAATTAAAAAAAATGGTTGTAGGGCTTGCAAAACCCTACAATCGTATATTTTTTATTTTGGAATCCGACCTCGTTTAAGATTTTTTAAAAATGAAAAACGAAAATCGATTCAAACAAATAAATGAAAAATAAAATAAAAAGAAAAGCAGGATTTTGTTTTTGTCCTTTTTTTTCATGAGGGACATGGTCGCTGAGTTGTCCTGTATTTTTTGAGAAATGTTTTTCGGGTTTGTGTCGGGAAATTGGGTGTTCAAAAAAAAATAAGATGCAAAAATTGAAAACAAATAAAGAAAAAAAGGGGTCACGCTGGTGTGTGTGTGTGTGTGTGTGAGAGAGAGAGAGAGAGAGAGA